TTGTTCTTGGTATTGCTTGAAGGTGTGGTTGTGCCGCCCCCGTCGCCGTCGATACCGCGTGTTGGGTGTGAGGGTGAGGGTGAAGGTGATGCATACATTTTGTGCCTCGGGGGATTACTTTATTTGAGTGTGAAATGCGAGGCGTACCATGCATATGAGGCGTACGATCTGTGACACTTATCCGGGCCAGGCTCGTAGCATTGACTTTAAGTTCTAGCAAGAGGGAGGGACAGTGGACTGAGGAGCGAACGGTATTAAACTATTAATAATTAATGAGAAGGTCGAGATTAAATTTAGAGATATAAGAAATAAGAAATTCTCTTTCAACTTTTTATCCTCCCATCGCTAGTGCAGATGCTGTATATTTTATAATAATAAATTAAAGGGGTATCACAGCGTCAGCATGATATCGATGTTATCTTTATCTATACCGCGCAATTATTACTGGTACCATTCAAGACCAAGACCAAGACCGTGTCCTCGTCGTCACTCTAGATCAGTCTCGAGAATCTTCCACCCATCGTATGAGTCGAATTTCTAGTTATACTCTAGCCTAGCAGCCCGTCCACCTATCTCGACATGAATTCGGACATTCATCATCTACATTCAGCAACATGAGCTGCTCTAATCGGATCCCTTTCTCAGAAACTCCAGCTCCAGCTGAACTCGCATCCGAAAACACCACGTATCTCAAATAGATCTTTACACATCTGGCTCGAAAGAAAGAAAGAAAGAAAGAAAGAAAGAAGGGGAGGAATGAATAATGGATAAATGCGTACCGACAATTTAAGCAACGAACGTAGCAGGAAGAGGGATGAAAGCAGAAGTAGAAGTCCATTGTTCTGAAGCAGGGTCAGAAGAATTGAATACCTAGAAATGAAAAGAAAAATGTACTGTATGTTATCAGATCCTTGACCCGACCAACCATCCTTCTCGGTATCAACGGTGAATTTGGGTGAGAGCTACTGAGACAGTCATGCTGTTCCCGGCGGGTGATGGGCATGTAGTAAGTATGATTTAGGCCGAGGTACGCGTATCTAGGCGAGGGCAGCATCAGTCTAAGAGGCAATCGTAAGTGATGGACAGGAGAAAGAGAGGGCTATGCGAGCATAGCCAGGAAAGTGAAGATATCACGACGAAAAAGCTGATAGGAAGAAAAAAAAAGAACAGAGGCTGGGATGACGCAACTTACATACTAAATGACAAGCTAATTCCTGTCAACGCGCACCTGCGTTGACCACAGCTCCCCCTCATCGCTCAATACCTCGTCCTGAACGCATTCCTGCCCTTCTCGGTCACCTTCGGAGATGGGTATCGACCAACGACAATCCATGGGGGGTAATACCCCCTCATAGACACTGTTGGTTGAAGCTCTGGAGGGATCAATGGAAGAACAGAAAAGCTAAACAGCGGAGCAGGTGCGTGTATGTCAAGATTGTGTGAGAACGACCAGAATATGTTGGACATGTCGACGATAAGGAGATCCTACTCGAGAGGAGCAGTCAACCAATGAATAGGCATCGGAGTATGCACTTAGTTGCATGTGTCCATGTACACCAGACAACTAGTGCTCGGCAGACTGTACACCACCCCGTAATACTTAGTTCGGGAATGAGTCGAGGGACGTCAAGCCTCTTTGTGCATCTTGGTAAGTAGCGGCGATCGAGGACAACATCAGTATCTAGATCTTCTTACACCCTTCAGCTGGCCGGTCCGCCCAGGCGCGTCGTCGACAGTGAAGGGACCCAAACATAAGGGAAATTCAAGGGAAATTCAAGGGAAGTTCCACGCTTGAAGATGAGAGCATATTCAGGCGGGACATCTAGGGGGGCAAGTAACTGGCAATGGAATATGTACTCAATCAAGATGAAAATCATACAGTTTAATACTCTATTCTAGTGCCATTTTCGACCTGCTGGGCTTCCTCAACATCAAAATCCCCATAAAATTTATAGCCCCGATGGTATGCACTGGCATCAAGCACTACTAGCTTGCATCGGAAGGGAAGGAGTGCAGAAAAAACTACAATGCAGGTCGAAAGGCCAGTAGAAACCGACAAATTATACACTATTACGCTATTCATCCACGACAGTCTTAAATCTCCCCAAGGCTGCTCAGAGTCATATCACCCAATAGTCTGACCATTCCCGACAGTACTCTCGTTCTCCCCAACGATGTTATCGACAACCCACATCATCCACCATCAGTCAACAGGTCACAGAACGATTAACCCCAGGGCCACCTATTTGTATTCGAACAGGACCAGGCGGGGGTACACAGTGGTGTTTATATCGAGGGGGAGACGATGGAGTGGAGATTGAGGCCTTGAGGTCGCACAAGGAGGTCCAGAGGCAAGCATCGGCACGTTAAGTATCGCTATCGCCCACACACGCCTTGTAATTAAAGGGTTATCAATTGACAATAAAATTCAACCTGCTCCCATATTATTTTACTGTCACTCCCTATAAGCCCGTGACTTGCTAAAATGATGCTAGCAGAAAGGCAAAATGTGCACACAACCACCGGGGAAGTCCTGGAGAGAAAAAAAAGGCGAAAGACCGAGACCATCCATACACCCAATCCATCCGAGTTCTACCACCACCCATAAGATTGAAAGAAAATTATAAGAAAGAGAATTTTAAATATCAGTTACAACTACACAATCCCGCTTTATGAGGCCGTGCACTGAAAACATACCAGTATAACAAACATAACGACGCTAGCGAAAGAAATAGACGCAAGCGCATGACATACCAGTTCCACTTGGCTGAACCAAAAAAAAAAAAATACACACCACGCAGCGACAGCGACGACCACCTCCAAGGCGGATTAGAGGGAAAAGAAGGATGACAATAATACTTCAAAACTCATCACCCATGACCGGCTGCGCAAAAAAAAGTCCAAACCCTGCCCTTCATCCGCAGAAGAATACTGAAAATCAACATAACCAGTCAAAACACTCGGAACTCATCTGCCCCATGCACATCATGCCCATCTGAAGGGAGGAAGCAAAGGGAGGGGAGCATTTCTGGCATAGCGTACGTTGAATAAACATAAAATTCCCAGGAGACGAAAGGAGGGGTTTTTTCCCTGTTCTGTGGCTCAAAACGGAGAGAGAATGAAAAAGAGTGAAAAAGACTGTCAATCCTACTGTCTCTCATCTCTCAACTCTTGAACATTTCCATCTGTATCCACCCGTGTATGTGTATCACCGCCCATATCAAACCCATCCACAAAGAGGTCACTTGCCCATACCACAGATCAACCCACCAACCATCCAACGCTCAATAACCCACCAAAGCCGGTACGCCAAACCGCCCTGCCTCCGCCGCATGGTACCATTTTTGGAATCAACAAAGCAAGCGCGCCAATGGAAAATAACACCTCCATATATGAGCGTAAACCAAAAGCGCAGACTATATGCTGAAAGGAACGGAGCATAAGGGCAGGGTCACAATCGCGAAAAAAATCAAAGAAGGAAAGAGAGAATACGAAAGGACGATGCTAAATCGGTGCGAGTTATTTGCTTACCTTGTCCCAATCGGCGTTAATCATGACCTTGACAGAGGGCAATCGGGCCGTCACCTATATTCGAAAGGGAAAAGGGAAATATGAGCATACGTTTATTAGAAAAAACGAGGGGAATAGCGCCAAGGAACGCATTGACACATCCGTGTTCCGGCGCGGTCGTTGAGGATTTGCTTCTGGAGATGCCAATGTAGCTAGTTGAAAGCGTTAGTTATCGTGGCGAAATCATAAAGTAGAAAGGATGATAGAAAATGGACAATGAACAGCCATGGGGCGCGGGAAGAGGATGAGGCTATGAAATTGGAAAAACGGTGCAAGGAAAGATGTTGAGAAAGATGTGAAAAGAAATGGACTGGCGTACCTTGAGCTGAGTTAAGAATCAGATGCTGGATCCTGCTCTCAAATTCTCTTAATATCAGCGGTATTCTCAATGATCACCGCAACAACGATGCCTCAGGGTCTATCTTCTCCTTAATGGGACGCCAGAAGGCGTCGATGGCCGCCGATCGAGAAATTAAAAGCGGTTCCACCACGTTGAAAGGGGACGATAATCAAGCCACCTAGGGCGCATATTTGAATAAAAACAGTATCAGTCTGGGTAAGAGGACATAGGGTAGGCAGCATGAAGGCGGAAAGACGCGGGACACAAAAAGGGAAGGAATCAAACTATCAAGACTCGCCGTGCGCTAGGATTTCCTGACAACCTCAGTCACCTTCGCCATCGCCTACATCGTAGCGTCGATCAAGTGTTTTTCATCCTCTTCTCCCTTCCATATCCACAAACGTATACCAGCGATCGCCGTACCCACGCGGATGGCGAAGAGAGCGATGACGAAGGGCGAGGTGCATGGGTTGTTCATCGGAGCTTCCGGGCCAGAAGGCGAGTCATTTCGATGAAACAATGCGCAGAGCACCATCCGAGCTTCAAAAAAGGACGTGATCGACTTATATCAGTGCCTAATCAGCGAGTTTCGGTTCTAGGGACGTCTGCGCCGGATAACGCACCCATCGAGTTCGACCGGGTAGATATCTTTGAGATCGAGTGTATGTCGCAGTTGAGAGTGCAGGTATTCAGAGTGAGAGAGAAAAGTAGGCCCAGATTTGAGCAGAACAGGTACGTAGGGCGGAGGAGGTGGTTAGTGGTTGGCGATCGAGGTGAACGTTGACAACGACGAATCGGAGTAATCTCACGGTCATCAGTCAATTGGTCCGCCCACCTCAAAAGCCCATCTTCGAAGGTTCGAATGTGTTCCCTTCGTACGAGGGCGAATCCACAGTCTAAGGCTCCCTCGATTCAGGCCAAAAGTACTACTGCCATTATAACACTGAGGCAAAACAGCAAGTAAGTAGAATGCATAGTCTAGTTCATCAGTAATACATCCAACTTGAAGCACCTTTTTTGAAGCACAAAACATGATCCATGAATAATTCGGCATTTAGTTATAATACCTTCCAAGGTAAAAAGTGGGTAATTCGGGTACGGGGAATCGAACCCCGAGCTGCCGCGGACATGTTACTTCATGAAAGGCGGCAATGTTAGCCGTTACACCATACCCGAGATATAAACAATTAGGTACTGCTGCATCATCACCTTTAGGGTACACATTGTTAATCATAAAGGCAGATATTTAAAATCCTCACACAACATTGAACAAAGCCTGTGGGGCAAAAAATGATCAAATCATACCGTAAGCTTCAAACAAAAGGTAATAATCAAACTGCCACCACTCCCAGACTCTATTCAGTAATTTGATAACTAAGCAACACACCAATATAGTTCGACTTGCAAACACCCAAATGGACTGCTAAACTGCATGGATGCCTCAGCACTCAGCTAGCGCTCAATTCCAAGCTCTACCAAAATGCCGTCTCAAATGCAAAAAAATGTAATGCTCTTAAGACGGCACTACTTCGGGTACGGGGGATCAAACCCCGAGCTGCCGTGCACTTTTATGGATTTACCTTATGAGAGGCGACAATGTTAGCCATTACACCATACCTGATATGAAGCTGTATAAATACTGCAGCCCCTTCACCCTGATGTATTATAGGATTATCCTCAGTGCAGATGATGTGCAGGATATGTTCAGAGAATTAGGTTTCATGGTTTCATTACCCAAAGAAAAAACAAGGGAACACCGGAAAAGGTCAATACATGACAAGGAAGTTTAGAAGTTGAATAGAAGACAATCCATCAAGTCGCTTGACCATGATTGACCTTCAATGACTCACACAAAACTCAGAAAAATACTGTGTTCAACATTAAGATAGACATTGATGCATGATCCTCAGCTTAAGATTCGACATATACAGCTAGCGGACAATGTCATGAGTCACATCTCGAAACAAAGATTGTAAAAGAAGAGAAGAACATGCCTGATTTCATATGACACTCAATGAAAAAGGATGAACAGAGACCAGACTGACATAGCTGAATACATCACAGAAAGGAGAGAAGGAAAGAAGAAATAATCCAGATTCGAAAAGGAAGTAAGATTATGAGCATATGCTGATCAGAGGGTATGCGGAACATAGGTGATGGCACTGAGTATGATCCACTAGATGTAGCTCAGTGACAAGATATTGATTAAAGCTACGGATGAATCGGAAGGGGATGGGAGAAGAAAAGAGAAAAGATACACCAGAGGCAGTAGACAACAAAATGGAAATGAAGACAACAAAACAAATAGTACCATTGAGCTCTAGGTCAATGATAAGCAGAGGAAGAAGACGATGTCAAAAATTTGGAAAATAGAGATGCATAACAAAATCAGTGTGAGAAATTAAGTCAGAGAGAGGACTGTAAAAAGCACAGTGGAAGAGTGTCATGTATCAGAGACAGCCAGGCATAATGAGACAGGAAAACATTTACTTTATCTTTATACTCTTCCTCTTCGACAGCCCCAGTTTCCCTCATCATCAGCATATTGCTGTATCAACAGAACACCTTTCATCCTTCTCCCCTCATCCATATCTACAAACAGATTGTGTGATTGGTGAAAGAGGCGGTAACAGAAGGGGAGGTGTCAGAGCGATGCGTATGAGAGTGTCAAGGCAGAAAAAAGGCAGAAAACTGCGGAGCGCTGATTGTCAAAGAGAATGGCCAGATCGATCTGTATCAGTGCCTCATCAGCGCTAGTGATTTTTGACATCCAAACCGGATGATGTACCTCTCAGTTCCGAGTCGCAGGTGTCCAGTGAAGGCAGGAGTTTGTAGCATGGGATCATCAGAAAAAGTGAGCCCCAAAGTCAAGAGTAAGCGTGCAAGCCATACGTAGTAGATAGAAGTCTGGTGGTTGAGGTCACAGTGAAGGTTCAAACCATCGTCGACATCAGAGGCTCTCACGCACGTCGGCTGATTGGTCCGCCTGCCTGAGAGCCCATCCTCGAATGTGTTCTCCTCGCTGCAATGCAAAGACGAATACAAAAGATAATCAAAGGAATAAGGTGGACACAAACGAGCCTCCTCTGCCGGTATCCATCCCATCACTATTCCCATCAGTGGCTCTTCTTATTCTGTAGGATCCAAGATAAAGTGACCTCAGTTTTCCATACGCTTCTGTCTGCCAGATTGTACAAATCCTAAACCTGCACAAGGTGAATAAATTCATGCAATGAACCTATCCACCAACATAGGTTGTAATAAGTGAATCCCGGGGACAGCAGCGTAAGGATCACGAAGATGGCAAGACTGGTGAGAACCAGAACGGTAAAGCATTACCCATAGAATTTCGATGTGCAAATAAGAAAGACGGACGAGGAACATGAAAGCAAATAAACAAACTCACGTTATGCTCTTCGTTCCTTCACGTTCTTGAGTTGCAATGTACGGGCATAGATGAAGAACCAGAAAATGAGAAAGTTAGCAATGAACAGACAACTCAAAATACGCTGAGGGGAGGGGAAGGAAAGAATCTAAATGTTGAAGGCACTACATCGCCCATTTTAATGCAAATGGAATCAGAGGATCTGGATGATAGACCCTCCAAAGCAACATAGCATGAACTAAATCAAGAGGAGCATACATACAAAATTTCCGAGGTGAATTTGGAGCCCACATGCGTAACGTGCTTCTCCTGGTCTATAATTGATGGTGAATCATTGGAAATGCACTGCACTTGATCCAAAGGTTCCATCTAGCATTAAAGCAAGCCTGTCAGAGTGGAAATTAAGGTAGTAACTTCGCCAATTTGGATCAGAACCAGTGGTACTGGTTAACCATCCATTCCAGAAGAAAGGAAGACTTGTTACTTTGTTAGATCCTCTTGAAGTTATGAAAATGTTCTGGCTTGATGGTGCAGTGTATGAGACCATGGATCCTGGAATGTCTTGGTCATTCTTGGTAAGAGATCGTGTGTACATATCCTCGGCTTTGGATGGTCGTCGACATTAGTTGGCAAGTGTATATAGCACAGTGAGAGAGTCGTCATAATGGAAACGTATCATTGCTGAAGAAGACCTGAAAGAAATTCTTATTGCAAGCGCGAGCATAACCTGATGGAGAGCGCGGCGCAAGGTCCTATCTTAGTATCTAGAAGTTAAACCAGGACCAAAAAATCGTCCCAAAGCATTGGACATATCTAAAGCCTCAACACGCGCGGCAGAGCAAGAGGTTCTCAAGGAATACTAATATAGGATTATAGGACGACGTGGTGAACAAAAATGAAAGTTCGGTATGGAACAAAATGTAAACGAAAACCTAATCGCCAAACGAGCCTTCCAACTCCAAGCCATCCATCTTTGAGTACTCTTCACTACATAGAGTCGGAATATAGAATTCTACCAAAAAGAAAGGAAGATTTTCGATTGGACGAACCCAAAGTGGAACCAAACCCAAGCGCCAGGACACCATTCTACATCCATCCATCACACAGCTCTCTAACCCCTCCTACTAAGGTACGACTCTTTCTCTCTTCCGCATGATCCAGCCCCATCCGCAACCGTATATGCAAGAGCAACCGCCAGCTAAATCTTTTTTTTCTTTCTCCATACCCTTCAATCTGATGCAGGTCAGAATCGGACACATTTATACCTGCGCTAGCAAAACAAATCCAAATAATGAATCCATCCACCAAGGCAAGAATAGGAGCCCCACCAGAAGTAGGGTAAGAATCATCGAGAAATAAGACGGACAAAAAAAAGAGACACGGATCTGGATATACAGATCAAAGGGTTGATATTATCAAGGTGAGCTTATATAGCGCCAGGAAAGAAAAGGAAAAAAAGGAGAGAGGGGAAGATGAGACTCCAATCCCACCCCTCCGAGATGGGGAATCAATAGGCATCGTCAAAGCCTCCAGACCAAAAAACGAAAACGAAAAGCAGCGCAGCACCTGAAATCGTCCTTTCAGAACGCCGACATTAAAAACCCTTCAGACATACAACACAGAAACTCTGTAAGCGTAAAGCTTTATAAAGGGGTGAGTAGGAAAGGAGGTTAAACGGAGCATGTTCTGCTCAGAATATGTCGATCCCAGGAATAGAAACATAAAGAAAGAAAGAAAAATCCGTTCAGCTGGATGGTACAACCCAGATCCCGGCCTTCCATTGTCGTATATCCGTATCTGCTTCCCTTGAAACATTGCTTGAAAGTGTAAGATCGAAGCCGCAAAACCAAAAGAAGTTCTTTAGCCCATTCCCATCTCAAACCCCGAGCATCTGCTCGTCATTCCCATTCTCTATCAATCCTCCCCCTTTAATTCCTTCTGTGAAAGACCGTTCCACTATACACTTCACTCAAACTACATTCTATGCAATACTACCAGCGCCAGTGGGATAGATGAAACAAAGAATTCATCTGCCAAAGTTGCTAGAGAAGAAGGTGCAGAAATTGAAGCGTATGTAGCAGCCATCGAGGAAAGCGGGAAGATGATGGTCCTGATCCTAACCAAAGCTGGTTGTGGTTCGAAAAAGACAGATGTCAAGGCAGGAAAAAACAGTACTGTTGACGGAGCCTAGTAGCGGTTATGCTAGTGAAAGTATAAAGGCATGAAGAAAAATGACGATGTCATGAACTCAACATAGTATGTCCCGCTCTTTTGACACCAGAGGAGGGGACGATAAAGGGATAGAGATAAAATAAAAAAATTCTGCTTCCCCTTCACCAGCTCGAACCCAATTTTCAATGCTAAAACCAACCGCAACGAGGAAGTCACAAAGTATATGCACCGTTGAGTGCAGTACTGGAAGTCGAGAAGACGGATAGAAGTGCAGGCGATGCCGGCCGACGCGAAACGCAGGCTCAGTCAGTCAGTCAGAGAGCGCCTTTCAATGTCGACAGCAACGCCCGGGCTCGCCTTATCCTACAGGAGTTGTAAGCAATCTATATCGGAAAATTCGAGGAAATTATACACTTATCATTACTCACCTTCAAAGGCCTAAAGGCCAGCCCAGCATAGCAGAGTAAGGTCCCAGCCTATCGATAGGAGATATAAGAAAAAAAAGTAAGGCCGGACACGCTCAACGGTAACACCACGCGCACCCTGCCGCTTCCACGGGTCTAGCCGGTCAACTGTAGAGTTGACGTCATCATTTCTCACATACTTAACTCATCCAGCAGGCGCTGAGGCCGAGAGGCACTGCTGTTGGCATCTGACCATCGCTGCTTGAGTACATTATCTCCCAAAATACCTAACGACAACTTCTTTAAATATCTCTTTCCTCGTCGGAAAGCTGACTCACCTGACTTTTAACTTCGGGAATCTTCCTCAAACATCGCTATCTCTGAATCATAACCTCTGAACGTTGGAACCCTAGTGGCCCCGAAACTTTTATACAATGTCTGACCCTCCTCCTGCCTGAGCAACTACGAGCATCCAAAAATTTCCTGTCTTGTACTCATTCTCCAGATGTATCGACTCTTTCTGAAGTAGTTCCATCCTCTATCCGAGAAAAGAAGAAAGCAGAACACAGAAAACAGGAAGCAGAAAACGGAAAGATGAAGGACGACTTCCAAGACGCCTAAGACTGGTTGTTGTGACATTATTGAAAATGCAAATCGAAG